GAAACTATTACAGAATTTCTATTTTATCAAAAGAAATTTGACAATGTTGGCATGTTGATACGGCGTTCTTTCCTGTCACGGCAGAATGAGCCAGCGTTCCCAACCTCCAGACGTCACTTGTCAAGGGATGGTGAGGAAAAGTTTAGACTTTGAGGAATCGAATGAGATTATTAATGACGGTATGATGACTCGTGATATTGTAGCGGGTCGGTTCATGAAGTAGATTGGGAAATGAAGCCTCTTATTAGGGTTTGATTTAATGATCGGAAACTGATAAATTGGTTCTCAACTAGTCGCACGAGTTAGCAAGTCGATGGTGAAACTGCAGAAGTGCGTATCTCGGAAAAGAAGATTTTCCAGGAGAGTAAGAAAACTGTCTACATTCCTCTTTATTGTTAGTAGAAGGATAATATTTCTTGAGGATAGGAAGAAAAATATGTTTTTTCAGACTTCATCAGCATTTTGAACAATTTCTCGGACTGTTCGAAAATACGGCAGAAATGCCGAAATTCGCGTTTTCGGCACTAAGAATTGACACTTCATCACGAGATACGCATTTTTGCAATTTGTGTTTTAAACTTGTTGTTGGCGGATTTGGATCATTTAAAGACTGAAAAAAAGTTTCACGCTTACAATTCCTTATCAGATAAGATTTAGTTTGACCTCATGTGGCCAAATCAAGCAGTGTATGATTGGGGTTTGACATTTGATCACGAGATACGCATTTCTGCAATTATTAGCGTTTTGAACCTTCTCTTGATAATTAAGATTTCCTCCATTTAAACCTATGCTAAATAATCGTTTCTCATCGGAGCACCTGGCCCCTCCAAGAATCGATACATTCCCATGTGTTTAAATTGAGGAAATCCGGTGTTGCCAGATTGTTGGATCCGCCACTACATATTGCAGTTCATTTGTAATTTTCATCAATGAAATCCTTGCCACTTTCTAATTGGTTACACTTGCTCTTATTTTTCATGATGTTTTGCTGTCGGCAACAGTAAGCTGAGCCGTGCTAAGAAAGAACGTCGTAAGAATATTCGAGAGTTGCCAAACTTCCTTCGATAAAATGTGTATTTTTGGCGCAAGTTAGGAATATTTTTCCTTGAAATTTTCAGAAACTTCAGGTAAAATTGCGCACAAAATTATGTGAAAAACTGAAAGAAAAATTCTCACAAGTTTACCAGGAAATTCGTGTTTTATCAAAGGAAATTTGGCAACGCCTGAAGGTTCATACGACGTTTTTCCTCAGCACGGCAGTATTGTAAGTATAACTTTGCTCACAGGGATGACGGGGCCTAGGTCCAGGGGCGCAAGTGAGCGCGGCTCCCGAGTCCTGAGGGAGATTTTAATGAAATCGTCGCTTGGCTCACTTCGACATTCAGAGCTTGTCTCCGTAACAGCATTTTTCTTGTTTCCTCTTCTTCGTGACGGGCCGCGCCTATTGTCTCCCTCCGAAAAAAGGAGAGGGAATACTCAAAGCAAAATGTCCGCTGCAGCACTGAGTGAGAACGACGTAACGGCCAACGGTAACGCGATGCAAATACGCGGTTTTTTTGGAATGGTACGGCGGGGTTAGAGCGAGCTTGTCAAAACGAACGGGTAAATCGACGGATGGATTGCTAGGATAGGCAATTAAGAAAATTCTAAACCTAATGTTCAAAGAAATCCGCACAAACGCTCTCTGGTAACGAATGAAATTGCCCGGTCAAATTTGCAGTAGATGGTAAAAAGATTGAAATAATCGAGCTACAAGCCAAAAAAATTATATTTCAAACTACATAGAGATGAGAAATACAAAAAAACTTGCAGGAAACAAAACGAAAGAAACTTTGCGACCGCCAACATTGTGGTCTTTTTTATTTTATTTATTTTTTTTTTTTTTTTTTTTTTTTTTTTTTTTTTTTTTTTTTGCATTTCTCATCTCTATGTAGTTTGAAATATCATTCGTCTAATTTTTTTTGGCTTGTAGCTCGATTATTTCAATTGTGTTACCATGTTCTGTGAAATCCAGCCAAATTGGCATTAAGATGTATTCTGTAGTAGCTGATGTGGCTTGGTTCCTCTCTGCTTCATGCGGTCCATGTAACACTGAGTAGCAATGGAGATGTTACATGTGTGAGGAATTTGCGATTTGACTGTTGATTCTTATGTAAAAGAGCGACGCCAAGAATGGCACAATTTGGGCCAGAAGGGATTTTTCTGAAACCGGGCCCAAACGATACCTTATGATACCCTAAAACTTTGGTAAAAATTTTAGCTTGAGTATACGCACCCTTTTTGAGAAATGGGGGGGCAAAGTTGCCAAATCGCCATCATTCTGGACAGCATTTTTACAGCAAAAAGACGGGAAAAATGGACGAAAAAGTTACACTATTGATGAGTTTGGGCTGTAAATGTTCTTATTGAGCCCCTGTGCAAGTAACTGTGTTCAGTTTCAAAAATTTTGGACGTACAGTGGTCCAAAATGGGGAGAAATCGTGGACAGATAAGGATTCTTTGTCAAACTTTTTAAAAATGGAAGTAAAATTGTTGGTCTCCTGCAGAGATCATGTGGAACAATGTTCTTATCGGTCTTCAATGCATTCAATTGAGTTCAGTTTATCAAATTTTCATCGCACAATGGTCCAAAATGGGAAATCAGTGGACAAATTGAGATCTTCTGCTTAACTTTTTAAAAATGATGTACGACTATTGGTCCCCTGCAGAGATCATGGGGAACACTGTTCTTATCAATGCATTCAATTGGGTTCAGTTTATTAAATTTTCATCGCACAATTCAACGGTCGTTTTTGGCGTCGCTCTTTCCCGAGAAACACAATGGTGCCACTGATTTTCTCTGAAATCAATTTCCAAACTCAAAAAAAGCTCTCAAGTTGAGGCCAAAATGGAGGGGATATCCCACGCTATCCTAAGAATCCACCTTTACATCAAGACGAACTCTCCATGCAAAGATAGGGAGCAAATACATTGACAGGGTTGCCGTGATTTCAGTTTTGGAGTCCCCAGATAAGGTGGCAGCCCTGTCAGTATATTTGTTCCCTATCTTTGCATGGAGAGTTTGCCTTGCTGTAGAGGTGGACTCTCAGGATAGCGTGCGGGCTATCCCCTCCGTTTTGACCTCAATTTGAGAGCTTTTTTGAGCTTGGGAGTTGATTTCAGAAAAAACCAGTGGCTCCATACTCGCGAACTTTTACATAAGAATCAACAGTCAAATCGCAAATTCCTCACACATGCAACATCTCCATTTATAGGGCCCAACTTTTTTTCTGATGCGATTCTGCAACGCCGCGCCGCGCTGCTGGCGGGTGGAGGACTTTCGGGAGCGGCTGCGGAGTTGGCCGCAAAAATGTCTCCGGTTATCGCGGTCGTGTTTTTTGCGGGATTGCGAAGTTATCTGCCGGCTCTTATCTACGCGGGAATTTTCGCCAGACGCCGGGGCGCCGCGCGCCGGATGTCGGGCCAAATAAATGGAATCCGCGCCCCCCACCACCCCCCACCCCCGTACTCCGTTGCGAAAACTACCCGCTTTGTTTTGGCGGCTGAATTACACCGAGCGGCAACTCGGCTGCTTTTTGGAGACCTCGATTAGACCTACTCCACATTCGTAAATTAGACGTTTGAACAAATACAAACGGGAAGTCCATAGCGCTGTCTCCACTCGTCAAAATGGGAGCTTAAAGTGAATTGATTTCAACTATAAGTGGCTCAAAGTCGGGACTTGATGCGAATGATGAGTGTTGCAACTCAAAATAGAGCGGCGCGACTCTTTTTTAATCAACAAGCGCGAACAGATCGTATTTATCGATTCACTTTGAGCTTCCATTTTGACGCCATTTTGACGGGTGGACAGAGCGCCCATGGATCTCATGTTAGCAATGTCGGAATTTTGGTAGAAAATTTTTTGGTGCCTTCACTTTGAGGTAGGAGAAACAGACGGGTTCGACGAATCGAATGGGTCAGCCGCGCTGGTTAAAGAATCGTGTTTCGATTTTTTACTCTCGATCAGCTAGGTACAAATAATAAGATCTGTCCGAACAGCAACACTCTATGTTCGATATTAACCGAGATATCGCGTTTTTTAAAATTTGGTGCGTGACGACATCCACTGCGTTAGTCACACCCTTGGTTTCTTCCACCTTACTTCCACCCAAGTGCACGTAGAGTGACCAGTGCAATTTTGTATCTCACTGATGATAGGAAGGCGGAAGAAACCAAGAGTGTCACTACCGCAATGGATGACGTCATAACCCAAATTTTACAAAGCGCAATATCTTGGTAAATATTGAACGTAGAAAGTTGATGTTTTGACAGGTCTTATTATTTTTAGCGAATCTACCAGAATCAAGCATCAAAACACAATTCTGTGACCAGCACATCTGACCCATTATGCCATTTGACCGAAAAAGTCTCAATCCCAGCCACAGCAAAGTAAATATTTTATGGAATGCAGTACATTCTCGCCCGTACACGTCAGTTTATCACTCCCATGCACCGATAATCCTGGACCCTCACACATAGACTGCACTGCACTGCACCTTCCAGGCCTCATTAAGTTTCTTAACCGCGGGAGTACGGTGCAATAGGCCAACCGGAAATGGAAACGCAGAACCGCATATATGTGTCAATGACTGAAGTGTGACGGTCGCGTATTACCTCTGCTTACCGAGTTAGGAAACGCAAGACCGCTTTAGCGGTTTGCAGAAAGCAGTACCGTTATCATACCAATAATTGTTTTGTTTCACCATATTTGAGTGAATTTTCTTTAATATAGGCACATTTATTTCACTGTCTGACTGCGATTGTACACGAACTGCAAGGTTTATAAAATATTTCACCCAGTCATATAATTACCTAGTAAGATTGATATTTGTAAACAGTGCATTAAGGTTGGTTAGTTACCCAGTGTAATTATTAACCAAAGTAGAACCTGATTACGCAAGTTTTAAATCATTGATACTTGACCACAAGTTAATTGATGTTTTTTATCATTTTTGCAGATGTGATTACGCCAAAATCAAGCATGAGCCCCCTCTTGACTCGACACCTTTCGGTAAGTAAATCTGATTGTTTTTCTTCTCCCACCCCCCTTTTTTTGAAGAAACAATAAGAGCAAGTCCACTGAAGTACTTGCTGTTAATTACTTCAATTTTCTGAAGTTCCCGAGACTGCGTAGCTCAGAGCTGCAATAAATTCTCATTTTTTTATTATCACAGAGCAGATAGGATATTTGCGATCGGGACTTATCTTTACCGAAAATGATGTCTGCCCAGAGAGAGATATTAGAAAAACATAAATAACCGAACAAAGAGAGTATTTGCCAGCGGGCCGATTATTGAAACTGATAGACAAAGCGATAGACAAAGAAGACATAAGGAGTATAGAGCGATCCTATTGGTTGACATGATTGGTTCTTATAGACTAAGGAAGAAAATGATAGACTAACTGTCAGGTTTCTCGTGGGTTGCCGTTAGTTAGTCCATTACCTACCTCCTACGTCCATTGCCACCACCCGCTTCCACCAATAGGATCCCTTCAAATCCCTTTTATCGTCTTTGTCTATAGCTTTGTCCATCAGTTTCAATAATCGGCCCGCTGTACATATCTTACTTTACATTGTTACTGTATGATGATCGTTGCTGTCATTTGTAATCATATTAATTTCTTGATCTCAAATAAATAAGGAATCAACTTGAAAAAATAAGGGAAGAAAAGAATAAAAAGAAAGTGTTTTTAGCGCTCCTTGCCTCCAAACATATATTATGCTATAAAAACATAAGCTTCAAAATGATTGAAGTCGTAAGTAGGACCTGCGAAAATGTGCGGCATTATTTGTTTTTGTTCGTTTAAGTAAAATTGTCTTACATCTCTCTCCCCAGGCAAACCTGCTCGCTAGTGGCTGAGGGAAACGTGCCTGGTTTAAAGGTTTTGAAAATGTATGGAATGAAATCACGAACCTTGCGTAGAGGACTGGATTTTAAACATTTCTACACGCTCAATGTGACTTTCTTGCGATTATACTCATAAGAAAGCCCACATAGATGGCTGGATCAGTTGCGTGCCACGGACCCAATCTTTTTCTGCATTGTTAAACCTCATCATCGAGACTACGTCAGTTTGATCCGTGCATGCGCGTACAACGGATCTTTCCGTTCTCGCCTCCGCGACTTGTGATGTTCGCACTCCGAAATTTGCATACCTTTCATGATTCAAACCGGAAGGCGGGAAAGAAGCATTAGCGTTAAGTGTGGGTGGGTGTGGCTGCATAATGAGGTATCCGATCCAAGCAGTTCCTTTCGCTCCTAGAAAAGCGCTCTCATTCGGATGCAAGGAAATTTATTTTGAATTTATTTTTTCCGCAGAACTGTAAGCGCACGTTTTTTCGGCACTCGGAGCATCAATCGGTAACGCCGACCTTAGCATTGCAATTCCGAATACATTTAATCCACGCAATTGATCTTTATTTCGCCGTTGCTTCAAACAAGCGAACTGACACAGATTAACAGTATTATGTCACTTGACTCCAACGCGTATACGTCTTATTGCGTATCGACGATGAAACTACCAGACCACATAACTCGTTTGCGATGTTTAAAAGTCTCCGCTCCCCCTTTATTTTTTGGAGGAGAACGATTCAATATCATGCCTTGAAGTTTTCACAGAGTTTTCTCTGCGCGGAGAAAAAAAATCACAGAAGTTTTCAAGAATTGACATTGAGTGGTTTTCAATTGGACGTATTTCTATCAAACGGAACTATGTGCATTATGACGTGAGCCCTGTTATGCACATATTCTTATGGGTCTCAGGGCTCATGCCTTAATGCACATGGCTCCGTTTGATAGAAATACGTCCAATTTACAATACAAAGTATGACAAGAAGTAGTCAGCAACGTCGCATACCAAAATACGAGATCCGGTAGTTTCACCGTTGGTATATCGCTTAATGACTGGTTTGTAGAAACATTTCGGTTTTGCGAAAAACATTATTCATTATTGCTAAAATATTTTTGGTTCCCAAGGTGGATTATGTTATATTTTGTTTGAAGTAGTCCAATTCTTTCCAGCCTGAATGAAAACAATATTTGAGTGAAAAAATATAATAGCATTACATTTACAGTTATTGACGTAATATCATTTTTTTTTTCTTCAGAAAGAGGGGAGGTATAATGTTATTTAAAGGTAGAAAAAGATTGCACCCTCAGAGCCCATCGATGGTTATGCAGGGTTCTTTGAACTGCCATTGGAGATGATTCAGTTCGTGGGAGATTAGGCACCAGGATCATTATTTATTTTGGGGGCCCAATCGGAAAGTTGACCTTGGGCTGATTGAAATAATATTGTGGTGACCTCAGCGAGATTGTGAGGAGCCAACAAGCTTGGCCTAAGAATCTTGGTACAATATATCATCAATATTGGATGTATAACCTTAATATTCTAATATTGTACCGTATTAGCAATATTAGAAATCCAAGGTCCGCCATGGCTTGCTGACTAAGATTGCCACAAAATTGGCACAATATTGGTTGTACAATACTGCTGATATAACACTGTCTTAATATTATTTGTGTAATATTGTAGTAATGTTGACATTTTTCACTTAACTTAATTTTATAAAAATTGCTGACCGGTGCAAAGAGTTTGGTTCGCAGATCAGCCACTAGAGTAAGCTGATGATGCTTGCTTACTCTTTAAGTCTAATTTCAGGCTTTCTGCAATTTCTTTCGCCGTCTTTCAACATCTGATACTGTATGTGTTCAGTGCTGATGCGTCCCAAGCATATTGCAAAACCACAGACCGGAAAAATTCTACTTTCCTGTATTTTCTCAATTGAAGCACGCTTCCCCGATGTTCTACTAATATTGCGGGAACATTGACTTGGTAGAATGGCATGATCATTTTTTCTCAAATCCGAATTGATTGATGCCTCCGTTGATTTGGTCGCACGGATCCACCCGCCTGCCGGCTGCGTCGTTAACAAATGTGCCGTTAACTACACCCTGAAGTGGATCACAAGGTATGTTTTTGGTTAAGGGCGCGGCAAATGCAAGCACAGCTACGATTGCAAACAACGCAAAGATGTTGTACAACAAATGAAGAGATTTCAGAACAGCGTGCGAGCCCTGTAAAAAGAAATACAGTTAATAGTGATCAGTATATAAATAACGTCCGTAGAACTATTGAAATCGAGAAATTTTCTTAATTTTCATACACTCAGTGTCATGAACTATAACGGAACACACAGCTCATCAATACTTCGTGAATATGAGGCAGTGGTCTGTAACGTGTTCATTAATTTTGTAAGAACTTTAAAAATTAAGTCCGAATAACTCGTAAATGTGTCATGTTTCGTAATTTTTTTAATTTTAACTTTGTTACACAATGTGAATAGCCACTATCGGNCACGCACTCCGTTGCGAAAACTACCCGCCTTGTTTTGGCTGCTGAATTACACCGAGCGGCAACTCGGCTGCTTTTTGGAGACCTCGATTAGACCTACTCCACATTCGTAAATTAGACGTTTGAACGAATACAAACGGGAAGTCCATAGCGCTGTCTCCACTCGTCAAAATGACGTCAAAATGGGAGCTTAAAGTGAATTGATTTCAACTATAAGTGGCTCAAAGTCGGGACTTAATGCGAATGATGAGTGTTGCAATTCAAAATAGAGCGGCGCGACTCTTTTTTGATCAACAATTGTGAACAAATCGTATTTATCGATTCACTTTGATCTTCCATTTTGACGAGTGGACACAGGGCTCATGGATTTCATGTTAGCAATGTCGGAATTTTAGGTAGAAAGTTTGGTGCCTTCCCTTCAAGGTAGGAGAAACAGACGGGTTCGACGAATCGAATGGGTCAGTCGTGCTGGTTAAAGAATCGTGTTTTGATGCTTGACTCTCGATCAGCTAGGTACAAATAATAAGAGCCGTCCGAACAGCAACTCTCTATGTTCGATATTAACCGAGATATCGCGTTTTTTTTAAAATTTGGTGCGTGACGACATCCACTGCGTCAGTAACACCCTTGGTTTCTTCCACCTTACTTCCACCCAAGTGCACGTAGAGTGACCAGTGCAATTTTGTATCTCACTGATGTTAGGAAGGCGGAAGAAACCAAGAGTGTCACTACCGCAATGGATGACGTCATAGCCCAAATTTTACAAAGCGCGATATCTCGGTAAATATTGAACGTAGAAAGTTGCTGTTTGGACAGATCTTATTATTTTTAGCGAATCTACCAGAATCAAGCATCAAAACACAATTCTGTGACCAGCACAACTGACCCATTATACCATTTGACCGAAGAAGTCTTAATCTCAGACATAGCAAAGTAAATATTTTACGGAGTGCAGTACATTCTCGCCCGTACGCGTCAGTTTATCCCTCCCATGCACCGATAATTCTGGACCCTAACACGTAGACTGCACTGCACTGCACCTTCCAGGCCTCATTAAGATTCTTAACCGCGGGAATACGGTGCATTAGGCCAACTGGAAATGGAAACGCAGAACCGCATATGCGTCAATGACTGCAGTGTGACGGTCGCGCATTACCTTTGCTTACCGAGTTAGGAAACGCAAGACCGCTTTAGCGGTTTGCAGAAAGCAGAACCGTTATCATACCAATAGGTGTTTTGAGTGACTTTTCTTTAATATAGGCACATTTATTTCACTGTCTGACGGCGATTGTACACGAACTGCAAGGTTTATAAAATATTTCACCCAGCCATAATTACCTAATAAGATTGATATTTGTTAACGGTGCATTAAGGTTGGTTACCCAGTGTAATTAATAACCAAAGTAGAACCTGATTACGCAAGTTTTAAATCATTGATACTTGACCACAAGTTAATTGATGTTTCTTATAATTTTTGCAGATGTGATTACGCCAAAATCAAGCATGAGCCCCTTCTTGACTCGACACCTTTCGGTAAGTAAATCTGATTTTTTTTCTCCTCCCCCCCCTTTTTTTTTGAGGAAACAATAAGAGCAAGACCACTGAAGGACTTGTTGTTAATTACTTCAATTTTCTAAAATTCCCGAGAAATTTGAC